GCCCCCCCCCCCCGCCCCCCCCGGCCTGCCCGCCGGCCCCGCCTCGACCCAGGCGCTGCGCCTTCGCCCTCCCAGCCCTCCGCACCTGTCCTTACGGCCGGCAGCGCCGCCGGCACCGCGGTGTCAAAGTCCTCCTCGGCCCGAGGCGCGCACCAGCGCCTCACACTCCTTGCGCGGCGAAGCCGGCTGCGAAGGCCGCCAGCACGCAGGCGCGGCGAGGCCCCCCATTTGGCGCAGCTTCCGGTCCTCGGGTTAAGGGTCTGTCTAGAGGCTTCCTTCCGTAGCTCTATGGTTCCGTCGCGGGCCGAGACCAGGAAGTGGTGCTTGGAGCGCCCTGGAGGGAGGTCTGTGTGCCGCTCTGGGAGCTTTAGCAACGGGCGATGGGAGGGGGGGGTTGCCTTCCCCCCCCCAGTGCGCACAGCAACGCCCCCCCACCTCCGAAACTGCTTGCGTGGCCAAAGGCGAGAGGCAGCGGCTGCTCGTTTACTCGGCTGGCACGTCTGTCCTAATCTGAGAGGCGCAACGGCCAAGGCTTGTTCGTTTACTCGGCTAGCACGTCTGTCCTTCTAATCTGAGAGGCGCAACGGCCAAGGCTTGGTGGGCTTCGCTGCTCCGAGGGAGGGCGGCCTCTCCAGGCGCCTGGCTGCTTTCTCGTTGGGGAAGAGAAGCCCAAAGCGCCGCCCGACGCCCGAGGAGGGCATTTCGGCAACCGCTTGTCCCCTTCCGTTGCTTCCCGCCTTTTCTGTCTGGGCGAGGTTGGCACAGCGGGGAGCACACACACGAACGAGCACGAACACACACACACACAGTCTCTCACATACAAGACACACACAGACACACTATCTCACAGACACACACAGTCTCACATACAAGACACACACAGAGACACACTATCTCACAGACACACACACAGTCTCACATACAAGACACACACACAGACAGACACACTATCTCTCACAGACACTGTCTCCCCTCCCAGACGCACTCTATCCCTCTCACACACGGACACACAGACTCTCGCACACAGATTCTCTCACACCCACACACCTACCTTTCTATCTGTCTCTGTTCCCCCCTCACACCCACACACCTACCTTTCTATCTATCTCTGTTCCCCCCTTCCCTCCTCCAAGCCCCACTAGTGCAAATCATCCATGTTTGTACCATATTCCTCACACTATTTATTAGATTGCATCTATCTTGCCGTTCCCCCAGAGCCTGAAAAGCGCAATAAATGGGGCGTGTGTTCTCTGCATGAGATTAATAATCACAGCAACCCTTTGAGGTGGGCTAGGGTGAACGTGTGACTGGCCGGAGGCCACAAAACCAGTGAAGTTTGTGACTGGGCAGTGCTGCTCTTTCTGTGGGGCGCAAGGATGGGAGCCCATCTCCTCTGATAAACAGAAGGGAAGCTTGAGTGGTCACACAAGAGATGGAGGTTGTGATCATAAGCTGCCAAAAACAAAATATAACTTTTCTCAAGGCAAACGAATATGTAAGTCTCCATCTTACCCAGGGAAAAGTAGTGGATCCAAAATACAGTACTGTATAACTTTTCTCAAGGCAAGCAAATATGTAAGCCTCCATCTTACCCAGGGAAAAGTAGTGGATGGTAGAAATGTAAGAAATGAGGAAAGAGAAATGGTTGAAGGCAGTATTAATAAAATGAGATATAAATCCGCATGAAGGCATGCAAGGCATACAGAGGCATATGTGCATTATGAAATACTTAACTGGTCTGTTGATTAAATCAATAATGTTAAGAAAACCTGCAGACAGAAAGAAAATAGGAAGACCTAATATGAAGTGAAGTGACTAAAGGAAGTGACAGTCTTTTGTTTACAAGCCCTGGATACGGCTGCTAATAAAAATACCTTTTGGAGCCCATTATTTTTGTAGGGTTGTTATAAGTTGGGAATGACTTGATTTCACATGAAGAAACCAGTCTATGTGTGGGACTTTTTAGTTGAGTTGCTGCATCTTCAGAGATGGAAGGAAAATATTTTCCATAACCATAGGCATCCTGTCAATCCAGAACTTCCTTTTCAGTTAGGGTTATTTCATTCTCTGTCTTTTTCCTCACTGTAGCGCTTGGAAGCCATATGATTGGTGGGCCATACTACGAAATTAGTTTATCCTTAACAGTGTTTTTAAATTGTTCTCCTGGAAATGTGGCTACTCCATTCTGGTCATCATGTATGCCACACACACAACTATTTCAAGACAGCCGTTCAAACAGATGGTACAGCTAGTATTACATGGTGAACGCAGTTCTCTTAAATTTGCAAATTGACTGTTTTATTGCATTGTAATCAGCAGGATTAGTGGGAACTTGTCCTAGTGTAGCACTTTCAGCAGTCTACACTACAGTGGAGTGCTAAGATTTGTAAAGTATCAGAATATCTTATGTTGCATACACATTAAAAGGCTGGCTTCCAGCTGTTCTCAGTCCTTTAGAGCAGCGGTCCCCAACCTTTTTGGGACCACGGACTGGCTGAGCCTTTGAGGAAGACGAGGCATGCACTCTCGGGTGCATGCGTGTGCACTCTTGGGGGGAGCGTGCATGCCGGCACTGACACGTGTGTGTGCACAAGGCAGCTGTGGGGAGGTGAGTGTGTGCGGGGGACAGGGGGTCTGTCTCTGCGGTCCAGTCTGGATTAGGCTATGGACTGGCACCAGGGGTTGACAACCTCTGCTTTAGAGTCCTATTAAAGTTTAGACCCTGTAGCGTTCTCTATTTATTTGATCTATGGTTCATGTTTGTTATGTAATGGTTTATGAATATTAATGTTGCAGAGAGGCAGAGCCAAGACAGATGCTATAAGAGGCGGAGCCTGAGTCAATATTTCAGTCAGAGTGTGTAGAGATTAAGACTGTTCAAGTCAGAGTGTGCGATTAAGTTTTGAAGTCAGTCAGAGAAATGTAAGAGTCAGGCAGGAGAGAAAAGCCAGACCGTGTAATAGAGTATGTAGTTTGAGGAACTTCTGAGGAACGATTAAATACTGAAGATATTCATGAATTAATCTATGTATTCAATAAACCAAAGTTTTATGTTAAAGGACCTGAAGTATGAACCTGAGTCTTTCTGAAGTAAATGGTGATTTAGAGATCACCTGGTGGCAGCAAGTGAAAAGAAGCAAGTGTTTGCCTTCGTGTGCTCTGGGGCTTGAAGGTCAAGCAAAGTGGCACGAGGGTGGACGCCACAGACCCATTCTCTGTTTCATTAGTA